CACATTTGCAATCAAACATGAGAAGACTGTCATACTTGTATTAAGGGACTGCCAACAAAGCCATTCCTTCCAGCCACCCTTAGGTGAAGGTGGGAAGTAAGCAAATATACTCAAAGAAAAACCAGGTGCATCAGTTTAATTCAGGGGTCAGAAATGTTTTCATCCAGAGTGCTAAAAACACCCCAACCTTGACCCACTTGCCTGCCATAGGCAGGCAGCAGTAAAGCTATGAGGGACCCAATCCACACTGCTGGCAGCGGATGCACATACACCTCCACATGGACAATGGGGAAGGGACCATGGTTGCATTGCCCTGGCTCTTTCCCTGCCCTGTACCACAAGGCATGGGTGCACCCTCCACTGCCATGGAGCCAACGCCAGGGCTTCAGAGCCCGGTGCAGCAATTTGTCGCCTGCCCACTACCTGCTGCAGCTCCTCACAGCCTAGGCCAGCTGTAGCAGACAGACAGGAAGCTGCAAACAGCTGCACCAAAATCAAAAGCCCTGGCCAGGCTCTATGGTACAAACACAGCTGTACATGGGCCTCAGGAAGCACAGCCGTGAAGGGGCCTGGGGTAGCACAACCCCAGCCCCTCCCTCCCTGTCTTCTCCAAGGCATGCATGCAGCCACCGCCACCATGGAGCCTGGCCACAGCCCAGCGCAGCTGTTTGCAGCCTCCTAGCTGCCTGCCACAGTTGGCCTGGGCTCTGGGCAGTTGCAGCAGGCAACTGAGAGCCTATAAACAGCTGCACCAGGGTCTGGAGCCCCAGCACTAGCTCTGTGGCACTGGCAGCTGTATGTGCACCTTGGGGTGCATGGAGGGCAAGGGGCTGGAGCTCCATTGCCCCAGGCCCCTTCCCAGTCATGTGCTGAGGCATACCTGCAGCCGCTACCACCACAGAGCCCAGCTGGGGTACCGAAGCCTGGTGCAGCTGTTTGCAGCTTCCTGGCTACCTGCTACAGCTGGGCCAGGCTCTGGGCAGCTGGGCTTGCAGCCTCCCTGCCACCTGCTGCAAGCAACCCGGGCTCCATGGCCGAAGTCAGCTGTCCAGAGCCTGGACTGGCACGCCGAGCAAAATGGCCTTGTGTGCCATGCTCCAGCACAAGTTTTTGGGGTTGCCAACCTTGGTCTAATTTATAGACCATAGTCTGTTGTGTATTCTTGTATGTGTATGTTGACATATTAGAATGCTTCATATTTACACAATGAAACTACAACATTTTAGAAAGGAGAAAAACCTTCTTCTTCACCATCTATGGGTCACATGAGGTACTAACCTGAAATTCTCTGCAGAGTATATGCAAAAATGCTTTTTCCATCAGGCCAGAGTAAACCCAAGACAAGATGATTTTAGAGAGATACTGAACTTTATTTCTCCCTGTAGGAGAAAAGAGTGGACCCCAGCTGCCAGCACTGAAAAGTTTTCTGAAAAATCTGTGGGTGTCTTTATGGCAAATGGATTGCCATGCAAAGATACCCAAGCCAGCCAAGGTACTGAAAGACATACTTATGACACCCGGACCTCAGGTGTAGCCAGGGTGCCTTTGAGTCACACATCTGAGGTGTTCTCCCACCTTCAGGGATCCTCAACCCCTCCCGCCCCTGCTGCCTGACCACCAAGAACAGAATGAGATGCTCTAAAGGTGACCTCCCTGACCTATACTGCCTCAAAATTACCTGCTTCATTTAGGTCCTAACCAACTCTCAGCAGAGGGTGTTTTACTAGCCAGAAGAATCACACCCTTGTCTGGTCATACATTCAGAATAAATGGACCCCCACTTTCAGAGAAGAGACCTGCCTGTATAGTGACACACTCTGAAATCATGCTTACCTTAACAATAAGTAAATTATGAAAGATAACCAAAAATTATAAATACAGGACAAAACCTAGGAAATCAGTAACCATATATTGCAACAGATAAAAGAATAAATAAACAAGAGAGAATATCAGAGCAATAATTTGATTTTACCCTGCATCTCATACCCAAGAAGGCAGCTTTTATCCACCTGAACAAGTTAAAAAGCAGCCCCTGCCTCTGACCTTTCTGCCAGGTTCCCCTACCACTTCTCCTCCTCTTCAGAATACTCAGTCTGAAGATACTGAAGATCTGAAACTTTTCCCTATACCCAGGAAAACTTAAAGACAAAGACCTGCTCTCCTGGCAAGGCTTAAATATAGTTTATCTGACCATTCATATGCATCAGCCATAGGATTCTTGGGGAGCCCCACATTATGCCCCCACAAAAGGCTCACGTTTACCAGTCTAGAGGTCTTTCCAAGTCCAATTACAAGCCAGAGAATACTTGATTCCTTTCAGACATGAAGGTTAGTAATTCAGTATCCTAAAGATACTGTCTCTCACTTAATTTCCCCACTATTAAAACTGTTTTCCTCAGTATAGCCTGAATAGCCAGGTGTTACTTTTATAGGGCCCTTTAAAAATGTAAAGGCATCCTTGTCTGAAAGGGCCTGGCTATTGAGCCCACCCATGTTGGCTAATGTTTGTCAGTGATTGCCTTTCTTTAGCCATTTATCTTTTGAGCCTCTCCCAGGTATAAAATCATTATACAATCCTAGCCCTAGTATAACTTATACGAAACACATTTATATGAAATCACAATTCATATAAACATAAGGATAAGACTGAACACACCTTGGCGTTACCTATATGTACCTTAACTCGTGGCAAGACAAAGTCGTTTGCAGCTTGCTTGTGGCACAAAGGGCCGATTTTGCAGGCATTCCCCGGCATCCCCACCCCTGGCCGCAGACTGGTGGAGAGGCCTCTCCATCACTGCAGACAGTCAGCAAATCTCAAGCACATGAGAGTGGCTGCAGGGATTGCTGCGTTGTCTAAGTATCATGGTAAAGATGCGGGGATTCTCAAACAGTCAAACAGCGTAATATATGAATATGTTGGGGGTGGGGGGTGGGTTGATTTCACAAGAAATCAAGGCCAATTGCATATTTACCATCAATCACAAAAACCATAAAACCCTGAATGAAGTAGGTCCCTACCTATACGTAGAGACTATACATGCTATATCAGTAAACTCGAGGAATATGGATGACAACCCATGACCACCACAGAACACAGTGAGGTTTGTGGTAAGTTTCTGAGTGTAGGACATTCCCCTGAGCCTTGCCAACTGGTGAGCAGATCTATATTGGATAACCATTCACCTTTTCAATGTAAGGGAACAAATATTTTAACAGATCTTTAGTTAATGCATATTCTTACCCCTATGATGCTTAGGCCTTTTAGGTAGTCTTGACGAGGTTGGGCTTGTGGGACACATCCAGCTAAAACCACTTTCTTGTTTTCTTCTTGGGCTTTCCTAAAATATTAAATCAAAAAAATTATTTTCCTCAAAGTTGATTTCTTTGACTTGCATGGTAACCACACAAAGAAAGTGGATTTTACCCAGCAGTTGTGATAAAACAGTGAGAATTCTTCATTTGTTCATAAAAGGAGCAACTGTCATTGAAAGCTTTACTAAATTTAATGGAACTGATTTAAGTTTGGTCCTCCATTAATGAAACACCTGACAAATTCAAGATTTGTGCTACTTTTTTTTTTTTTTTAAACTATGTTAATACAAGAGATCTAGCACACTTCCCAGAATATTGCTGCCCTCTGCTAACATACAAAAGTATTAACCTGGAAGTCTTAATAATCTCTAGTTTGCCTTTATTTACCACAACTGTGGCAGAGGGATATATGATTGAGGGAGCCAAGATACAGGTATAAATTTCCATTCATGCTGCTCATGTAAACCATAGTACATTTTTTGCGAACCAAAAACACTCAGACATCTATTTAACATCTGCCTGGAATGATCAATTAAAACTGTCTTTCAAACTCTTAATATTAAAACTGGATTGAACATTTTCAAGCTTGAAATGTCTGCTTTTGCCAAATTAAATATTGATGTGAATATTAATTTATATGATTCCTTAGCCCTGGCACTACCTTGCCACCTAGTGGGAACCTGAAAATACAAAGATCAAATAGTTAAAATCCTTTCAACCTTTTAAATAACATTTTGATTCACTCATCTGGATACAAAGCAACTTTTAAGCTTTAATAGTATATAAAAGGCATTGAAATAAAGCATTTGCTTCATTGACAAAATAGGGCAGAAACCCTAGTTTAGGGCTAATAAAACTTTACAAAGAACTGCTAGATTAATATGTAATTTTACAGTCTTATACCATTCTAGTTGTGGTTGGAAAAAAAACCAAACAGAGAAGGAAATTCAACATTTTAAATTAGTTCCATAGGTCCAGACCTATTACTGTTTTCCCCTTAGAACTGGGTCCCAAAATGCAGTGAGAACTACTTCGCACTGTGCTGCAGCTTCTGGTACACCAAAGCCATCCTGTGTAGTGGATTGCTATTTCCTCCAGCAACATACAGATTCAAAAGTTTTGCTATTATCTCTGGGATAGGATAGGATAATGTCATGACATTTTTCAGAAATGCACTCCAATCAAAGATCAATTGCTGCTTCCGTTAACCACACGCTGTTTGGAGGAAGTACAGGCTTTTACTTGACCTCTGGAGGTTAGGTCCTGTAGGGTAACTTAGGGGGAAGGTAATGCTCCAAGAGTGCAGTCTGCAATGTTGCACTTCTAAAGCTGAAAATGTCTGAGATGTGGATTTCTGAGCCTGCTAACAAAGAAAACTCATGTTGGAAGTCAAGTCCATGCCCAGTGCCTCTCTTCCTGCTGCTTGAGAGAATTCATCTCATAACTGTAAAATGGATACATTTGCTTATTTAATTACAGGTCAAGTTTAAGAACAACATTATTCATGCCCTGAACAACACAATAACTGCCAAATAAAACAGGACACTGGCTATCTTGTTCACTACCTTGTCTCCAACCATGACCAACACCATACAAGCAGAGGAAAGGGCTAAGATCCCCCAAAGGAACAAGTTTTGAAATAATTAGCAGCAATGTTAGGAATAATTTGATCTTATATGTCAAATGTAATTGTAGATTCCGTCTTGTCTTATTTGTACAAAAGTCTCAATTATTTAATGTTACAGCAAGGATTACAAGAAATTTCAGACCTCAGTAATTTATGGAGGCATTTTAATCAGTGGTAGACTTGCAAGAATAACCTATTTGAAAATACCATTTCCCATCTCTTCTTCAACACAGTAGTGTAGTTAGAGGTGGACAAAAAGGGCACTAACCCATCCTGGGCAGCAAGTTAGAAGGGGCACAGGAATCACCTCCAGCCCAGTGGAATCTGTACCCCAGACACAGGAGCAGCCCATGTCTTACCCAGGAACACCAAAACAATCCCCAGAAACTGCTGCTGCTTTAAAAGCAATAGCTGAGGCAGGCAGAGCACGTAGCAGTAGCAACCACAGCTCAGGTAGGGACTGCTTAGGAGTTCCCAGCATGGGTAAGACTGTTGCCCCCTGCTCAGAATGTGCGTGCACTATTCCCCTCCCCGATGGCTTTCCCACAGGGTTTGCCCAGTCCCAACTCTGCTCGTTACACCTCTGCTTTACCATTAAATGAATGTTGCTCAAAAGCCAATTACATGCATTTATTAAGACGGCTGTTGCCAGCTACATGCTTGTGAAACTTCTGCTCTTCCAGCAGTGAAAAAAAAAGGTAATTGCCAAAACTTCAACAGAAGCCCATTTATTTTCTCATATTGCTTGTATTTTCTGCAAAAATATCATGCACCGTTTTGTGAAACTCCACAACCCTGAAAAATTTAAAAAAAAAACAAAAAAACACTAGTCATATGGCCTTACACACACAACCTATTGCCTCAAGGCAAAGTGATAAGACTAGTCTCCAGTAACTAAAGTTTACATCCCTAGACAACTGAGCATCTGGTATCATCTGCTGCTAGAAACAGCCCTCTCCACCTACTTGAAAACTTGCAAGAACTGCAGAGGGAAAAGCTTTCAGTCAAGTCTTTTTAGTTAGGAAAAAATAAACAAATTTTTCCCCTGACACATTAAATGGCATTTTAATGTTATTCATAGCTTTAGCATTTTGTAAGATCTTCCGGGACTGTAACTGGAGGTAGGAAAAAAAGTTAAATAGAATATATTTCATAGTAAGTATTAGCTTAATTCTACATTTTGAAAGTTTTAAAGATGCCTAGAGAATAAAGAAGTTCATACACTCTGAGAATTTTTGCTTCCAAATGTATTTAAGCAGTAAAGTTACACTAAATTTCAGTCAGTTTTCATTAAAAACCCTAAATATACTGTGCTATTCCACAAAACCCATCACAAATGTGAAAAATCACTAAAACTGGTGCATTAATGTATTTGCTTCATATTTTTGAGAATTACATGATGAAAACATACACCACCACCCTACAGAGTTATTATTTAATAAGCCTTGTTCAGATTAACAAAAGCCTACCACAAAAATTGTTCTTCAGAAATGCAGCTAGCACAGCAGCAGTGTTATAAAAGCTTTTATCCTTTAAAAAAACATGAATGCTAATGAGAATAATACTTGATGGAATCTAAATGTGGCATGAATAAATTCATCATCTTTTTTTACACTTCTTTTACATTTTTTGAAGTTAAATGAACCTTCCCTTGAACTTTCATTTTAATTGTATCAGGACAAGTTTTCTAGAAATGCATTTGTATCTAAAAATGTTTTACCAGACATGCACCTGAATAGAAATGTAATTAGACCAGATCTCTTTTAAAAGGTTGGAACCCTAAAAAATCTACTTCTAACCAGGAAAAGTGTGCTGGATACCATACAGCACTTTTAAATATAAAAAATGCATCATTTGCAAAGACTACAGACAATAAAACTTTTACATCACGCTCTGCCTTTTCCTGTTAGAAACCTGTAAGTACAGCTAAAATGGGAAAGAATAATTTCTGTCTTGCATATAATGACATCACCTTATTTACATCACCATGACCCTGCTCACAAAACAATATATGATAATTATGCAGTCATTGTTTTTACTAGGGTTTTTGTTTGGTAGGGTCCAGTTAGCTCTCTCCAACACAAATACAAAAATGAAGACTGACCTCCAAACTGTAGCAGCATCCTGGGTGAGACTCTCTGTAGCTAGTGCAGTAGGTCCTACAGCAGGGGTGGGCAATTATTTGGGCCTGCAGGCCATATGGGCAGTTCTGGCAAGTTGTTGTGAGCTGGTCAGCATGCCTGGGGACGGCAGGGGCCGGACAGCACCTGGGTCAGGCAGGACTGAGGGACCCGCTGCAAGCCAAACAAACTCCCTCCACAGGCTGGACCTGGCCCATAGGACTTATTTTGACCACCCCTGTCTATAGTGTCCCCCCTCTTTGCATGAATATGTTGCTACCCCTCTAGATTTTCTAAATGGAGAAAAATTGGGAACCTTTCCCAAGGATTAAGCCAATGGAAAGCATTTTTAAACCACAACAGCAAAGGTCTGTCAATGGATGGAGAGCCTGTGATATCAAAAGTAATACAGCAATGTCACCTTCTTTTCAGGGGAAAAGCAGACTAGAGATAAACCAGCAAATGTCTGTTCTCCTTTTCTTTCCTATAGTGGGTTTCATTTTGCAGTCATACTGGCTGGGAGACCTTCTCATTCCTAAATCTTACTGTTAAGCATACAGGTCAAGTAATGTGTTATCAACCAATGTAGCATCAGAACTTTTAAGAAGCACAAATAAACTAAGGGAAGCTGAGCAATGATGCAGCGAACAGCTGTCCAGCCAGCACCAAGGTTTTGGGTTTTTTTGTTTGGCTGGTTTTGTTTTGGGTTTTTGTTTTGTTGTTTTG